GTGATTTATTTTTGTGATTTGTAATACAATTTGAGCCAAAATTCATTGTCTGTTTTCATTTTTTCAGTGTTTTCAAGTTTTATTTCACTTGTAAACACCTGTAATTAGAAAATAACAAAGGTTAGAGACAATAACAACAAAGAATATTAAAGTATACTTAATCCTCTTTACAATGGTATATGATAAATGTATATTAAAAGCAAGTTTCTGGTAGAAAAAGTGCATCAAAAATGATAGTGTGATTTTCCAATAATACTGCCAGGGAGGCCAGTGTACAGGCCTTGTCAGTGTCAGGGACTGCAGGGTCTCAAGGGACATAACTCTGGGGCAGCCAGTGATGAAAGAGTTAACATAGGCTTACGACAGTTGTAGTGTTAAGATCGCTTTATGGAACAGGGCCTGGGTAGACGAGCAGAATGTTAATAATAACTAGCCAGGAATGACTAGTCAAATGTACCTATTCCTAACCAGGCAACATAAATAGACCATACAGTATTACTAATCAGGAAAGACTCATGACAAACCTAACAAGAAGACTTGCTGAGTAATTAAGTGTCTAACTCTGAATCATTTCCCACCATGTTTTTCTCACAAGGCAAGGACTGATTCAATATGAAACAGAATTCACATGGTTAATACTGTGTCTTGAAGAAAATTATTCAACAGTGACACTAAACAAGCACGGAAAACAATTATCATGAAATAAACAAGACTGCAACAAAGAAACAAAAGTCGCAACCCAATTGCAACATCTACAAAAAAGACATTCTTTCTGCAGACTCTTCTAAATGAACACGAAGACCTACATTTCCGACCTTGCTTCAGTGATATAAACTAAGGTTAACATGACAGTTATTGACAAATAGGGACTCAATTGTCTTTATGGTATTTGATAGTAACTGATCTTGTTTTCAGTTAACACAATTATCTACATCTTCCATTACACATGATCCAGCCTATCATAAACAAGTCTACAACACTGGATGAGAAAGAACCAACATTGATTTCATTAATTGAGTATAAATGACAAAGGTGGCCATGTTGCCATGCCAACTCAATTATGGTACTTATTAGTGTTACCGAGCACTGTTCTTGTAATGTATCCATTAATAAGACACTTAATCATCTCATTTGGAGCTAGAAGATTTGCCACTATGGATTACGATCTGAATGCTACAAATACATGTCAAGAAATTATCCCAATCAATATACATGCCGCAACATAATACAATTTCCTGACCATGTTAGCATATTATATTAGCATTAGCAGCAATATTTTAAGGAAGAGAATATATGGATGTCAACTTCTTTATTATGAGGAACACAACGTTTCGGAGTCAGGCTTACTCCTTCATCAGGTGAATGATGCCAGCTATATTTCGATGCCATAAAGCAGATCGTTACGATTATGAAGTCATACACTGACTTTCCTTTATCTAATTCAGCTTATATTCCTAATCAAAGATGACATTGGTAATGGCTTGTTATGCTACATAGTTTGACAGAAACAGTGGTGTTTAACTGGAATAAAATGGTGAAGACAAAGTGTGTTATCATGCACCTTCAAGCAGCCACAAAATCAGAAGCTGCCCTTCCCTTCCCACTTGTTGAAATCAATATCTCTGAATAACTAGGATTTGGCTGCATTAAAACTAATCAGATTTTACAGAGTTAATTTCTCTTAGTTTAATCTCCTAGTGTACCCTGGAGCTATGTAGGCTCATGGTGAGCTGAAATCAATATCTAAATCGTTATTCCACTATCATCATAGGCATTTAAGTAATGAAAAACTGGTACCTCCACCCACATCATATTCCAGAAACACCCAAGATGAAATATATTGCTTTTACCGTACATGTTCATATATTTATCATGAATTAAAGATTCCTTTTTTAGAAACCTTCTCATATCACATGAATACTACACCATTGACGTCAATTGGCTCAGCCAAAGTTATGAATACTGCATCGATTTAATGAGCTAATTATTGATTTTGGTGACATCTCTAACATCCCTGACACTAATGACACTAAAAACGGTTGTGATCATCCAGTTAACACATTTAGAATTCTAAACAAAGATCTTACTTCCATTAAAATGTATGACCTCGTCAACATTACATGATGTTGCACAATATTGGACAGGATGACTATCTTACACAAAGAGGCTTCTGAAATTTAAAAAAAATAACCCAATAAAATGTGTTGAAGAAGGGGGGGGGAGGGGGAAGAAGGGCAGTTTTGAACCTTTGCACCCAACGACATGAATAAAAGACTAGAATCCCCACCCTGCCCTGCCTCTGCCCTGTCCCCAGCAAACCCCCCACCCTGCTCCAAGCAAACCCCCACCCTGCCCCCAACAAACCCCCACCCTGTCCCCAGCAGACCCCCACCCTGCCCCCAACAAACCCCCACATTGCCTCCAACAAACCCCCTCCCTGCCCCCTATCTGCCCACATCCTCGGCTGATTGGCTCATTTGATACCCTTAAAAATCCTTCTATAACGTGAATCATCGTCCCTATTTTCAAAGGGTACTGGGGATCTATTTCTGCTCATAATAACCATTGGATCTATTTGTCACTGACAATCTTTCCAAAAATATGTCTTTAGTCTCACAGAATCTTCTGGGCAAAGATTGGTTCCAAAAATGATTCCACTTATTCTATTTCCTCCCTCTGCGAGAATTGGAAAGATCTATATCCTGATTACAATAAACCTGTAACGGCTTGTAGTATTCCCCAGTGTATGTGGCTAGGCCAGATGCTACTCACCACGTTTACTGTGTGTGGGAGCATTACACTGATAAAAGTCCTATCCACTGACATTAATCAATACTGAATTAAACTCATAACACACCCTGGTAAGGTTACAGAGACCGTGTCATCAATAATTTAGTGACATGTAGGCACAGAAACTTCAGTAGGAATAGTCAATATCTATCTAAGGAAGAAACAGGAAAATCCATGCATCTACTTTCTGGCATCCATTTCCCTCCACTCTGTTGATCTCAGATCCACTACCTCACTTGGACAGTAAGTAACGTAATGGGAAAAGTCAGGGAGCTGTAAAATACATGACTTCCTTTTCCAATTTGTTGCCCTTGATTTTGGTTGCTGCAGCCACACCCTTTCACAAACTTACACATCTTTGGCCCCATGACCAGATTAGATCAAAAGATGGATAGTGATTCAAAATTTCCATTTCCATTTCAGAGGAACTAAGGACATGGTGGGACAAAAGCCCTTTTTTGGTCAGTGTAATCTAAAAGTGAGTGGGTAAGTATAGTTTTACACCGCTTTTAGCAATATTCCAGCAACATCATGGAAGGGACACCCCAAATGGGCTTCACACATTGTACCCATGTGGGGAATCAAACCCAGGCCGGATAATTTTCATACCATATTTTAAGGCTTTCCACAATTCCACATTTCCAGTGAGCCAAAAAGTATCCAACCTGATCCTTTTAATGCATCAACAGTGATATCGGTCTTGTCCTGAAATAACTGCTCATGATTAAATAGGTCTTGTTTCGAATATACAGTGTAAATATATTTCATCAAACCTAGTGATTGAGCTGGGTTCATTGTTACCTTGAATAGTATTTCAGTGTTATTCTGTTAAAGGTTTTTAAAATGTAGGGAAAAAATCCTGTGTTAGGTTGTAGATATTTACTACAAATTTGGTGCTGACAAGCCAAGCAGCCTGGGATTTGAACCTATGAAAAGGGGAAAACAAAGGGATGCACTCCTACACAGACAACTTGGACCGCCGCATCAAGCCAACTCAGTCAGGTACTATTGATTGTGTTTGTGTGGTGAGGCATGCAACAGTTCGGGGTTCAGTTGTATGAAGCGATCGTAGAACTTAAGTGGTCGTGGCTCCCAAACCTTAACACAGACTTACGACAGTCGTAGTGCTAAGGTTGTTTTGTACAGCGGCACCCAGGAGTATATGAACACAAATGCTAACAAGTATTTGTCACAGAGTGACGAAATATCCCCCGCCATATACACCATAGTACCAAATATGAAGACAATCCAGCGATTAGTTCTTGAGATATTGTGGCAACACCGTTTTCCAACTCTAAAAACAGATTTGCCTGCTGTGACCTTGAAAATGGGGTCAAGGTCACCAAATCTGACAGGTGTATGCGGTGTCTGTATATACACTATAGTTCCAAATATGAAGACAATCCAGTGTTTAGTTCTTGAGATATCGCGGCAACACCGTTTTCCAACTCCAAAAGCAGATTTGCCTGCTGTGACCTTGAAAATGGGGTCAAGGTCACCAAAACCGACTGGTGTCTGCGGTGTCTGTATATACACCATAGTTCCAAATATGAAGACAATCCAGTGTTTAGTTCTTGAGATATCGCGGCCACACCGTTTTCCAACTCTAAAAGCAGATTTGTCTGCTGTGACCTTGAAAATGGGATCAAGGTCACCAAAACCGACTGGTGTCTGCAGAGTCTGTATATACACCATAGTTCCAAATATGAAGACAATCCAGTGTTTAGTTCTTGAGATATCGCGGCAACACCGTTTTCCAACTCTAAAAGCAGATTTGTCTGCTGTGACCTTGAAAATGGGATCAAGGTCACCAAAACCGACTGGTGTCTGCGGAGTCTGTATATACACCATAGTTCCAAATATGAAGACAATCCAGTGTTTAGTTCTTGAGATATCGCGGCAACAAACAGGTGGGACGTACGGACGGACGGACGGACGGACGTACGGACGGTCGTGAATACTATATCCCCCGCTTCGCTGCAAACAGTCTGGTAGATTCACATGAGAACATACATCCCATGCTGCGTCCAATCTGTGTCCCTGAGTCCAATATCTGTACGATTCCCCAACTGGCAGCCATTGTATTATTCTAGGCGTCATGGAACTCATTTCCTACAGGTAGGTGTGGAACAGAATGAAGTGTCATATGTTCCCAGGATGACGTAGACGATGTAATACTCAGTACAAGATTCTACTGTTCTAAAACTTACCCATATTTGTAATTTGACCCTCTTGTCTTGTCTGAATACTGTCTTGACTTTGAAGTCAATTCCGACTGTACTGACAAAGGCAGACGTAAAGGAGTCGTCTGCATATCGGAAGAGGAAGGAGGTTTTTCCAACAGAACTGTTGCCGATGATTAACAATTTAAACATATAATCAAAGTTCTGATCGGCTGCATCTTTCTGCCACTTGGAGTCATTTGCTGAGGCCATCTGAAATTGAAATGTTACACATTAATGACATACTCAGAGTGACTTCAATGGACTAAACCAAGTTTTACAAAACAATGATCAGTTGTACAGAGGTCAAGAATGCCATGTGTTAGGCAGTGTGAAAGGGTCATAGTGGCCATGGCATCTGTGTACCCAATTGAAGACCAGGAAAATGCAACTGTGTAAGTTGGAAGGAAACTGCTCTACCGTACCCATCCTCACTGATAACACATCACATCAGCTTATAAACAAAACTAAGAAAGGAACATCCCATCCCCTCCAAATAACATCTACACGAACCCCATCTTTTCTGTCACTTCTTACAAGAAACTAACATGCTTACAGGCCTATCCTGTGATACAGATGCAGGAAACAGAGTGTAGCCTCAACTCACACATAACACGACAGAGAATTATTGATGATTCATGTGAGAAATGCTAACACCATGCACAGAATCAGTTTCCCAATATGTTATTCTGCGGTCATCCATCTGGGACTCGCCACTATGGTACCTGCTTGACTATTCTACCACCTGATTTATACATGGCCCATATGCCACGTTGTCATTATTCCATAAATACCATTATTGGCCACTTGTGCACATCAAGGTTACATGCTTGAAAAGTAGAGAGTGATGTTCGTATCAGCATTCTGAAATTAGCATTTGCTTGTTTGCCTGAAGCAATCCGACTAATCAAAAGAGAGTAAAAATGTGTTTTTTTTTAACAGAGTACATATTTGTTGTCACTAACTTCACAAATACTGAGGAAAAGGAGCCCTTTTATTTTCTGACGCTAATGCATCTGAATATTTAATGTAGTGTTTCTCACAAAATGGTATAAACATGAACAATGCATTAAAATATTACACCAAAAGCCATCAAAGAAATAGAAAATAATAATGAAATGACTAAGATCTGAAGTCTGTTTTGTCACGTATGTATTCTAAATGTCCATTAAATAAAACCTGAACTTGTCACTCAGGCTTACATGTTCATCACAACATCTGCTTGTTTTAGAAATGACCATGTGAAAACACTTTGGCACAGAAAATGATTGCTGGATCATTTGTAAATTGGCTGGAACTTCATACAGAGCTTTGACTGCTATTGCAGCACTGACTTGTGCCCTGCTGCTAGAGGAGGAAATGACACCGCAGGGCTGGCGTCATCACAACCTACCTACACTATTTCACTACACTTTTCCCTGATGTTGATGTCCTACCATCCCAACAGCACAACAAGTGTCAGTTTCTTAATCAAATATGTTTGTTTTAGTCAAGAAAGTCCTGCTATGGAGGAATTACTTCACATATCTGATTAAGAGAAAACCAATGGAGAACACTAATGAAACTTGATGTACTGTCATCTCATCTTATGTCAACCACAAACCATGATGGGGAACTTAATGCAGCAATTTCTCTTCATAGCCAGGAATGAACTACCTCAAAAACAAAATCAGGAATATAATCTCTTAAATATAGTAACAAGGTTTGTTTTTAAAACTTGATGTCACATATGTAGTGTGAATGTCTTGAATTCTCTCTGTGCCCACTTTAACCCTATCTAAGTGAAGTCAATGGTAACATCGTTAAGAAAACTGGCACAGCTCCAAGTCCCGAGCCTGAATGGTCATCAGTCGGTGAGCAAGCTGGGGAAGTAATAATATACGCCTCCACAGACTGCTCTGATCCAAGTGTCTGTACACTACAATCAGCACATTACTCACCAGTCACACTGAAGCATGGACAATAGGGAGGGCTTGGTACAATACCATACAGATATGAGGCACTACAGCATTTTAGTACACTATCTGGATTTACAAAGTTGTCAAAAATATTAATGTCAAATTTTTATTTGGTTGAAAACAAAGATAACTAAGATTAGTAACGACAGATGTGAGTTGTATTGTATCATCCTTTCTTAATAAACTTAAAGATCACAATCATGGACAAAAAATGTTTACTACTATACACTTTTCAACAAGAAATCCTTTGGATTTATTTCCACTTTATATAATAGAGTTAAGTGTTGGAGCTATCAAGCTTAACTTAAGTTTATATGTGAAAACTGAATTTGGTTGAAGTCTATCCTTGTTTGCTGAGATTATCATTTTAGTCACGATAATTGGACACTTAACTTCATAAAATTGAACAATTTGTCTGAATATGGAATTTCATCTCTGTTTAAGTTTAAATTTCTGACAAAATATCCACAGAAAAAAAAATCACAAAAGTAACGATATTTGACCTACTAAATCAGTGTACCGGTAGCTATTGCACCTGACCTCTCTTTCATGAGGGAATATTCAAATAGACAATTTGGCAAAGATTCAACCATATTTATCAAGGTTGCCTGGAAACTGCAAATGTTTACGTCCCTGCAAAATTGAGCAGTTGAGCTAATAACAGAAGAATGAAAAAAAACAACATTTATAACATATTTATTTTCAATACCATAATAGAGGTTGTACTTCTGATGCAGAAGAAACTTGACTTTCGTATTTTCAATCTCAACAATACATCCATACTTAGCAGGAAAGATTTAAGATATGAAAGAGTTAACACTGATTAACAGGCCACGTGTCTGAGACGAGAAACATTTCATCATTTCTCAAACCTGCTCCACTAGAATGTACCCCAACAACACACTGTCTTTTCAGCTGCAAACCCTATGTTCTATTTATCGTTCCATATAAAAGGAGTGGCATGTAGACATCAGCACTGAAATCAGGTAACTGATCCCCAATGAGGCTCACAACTGTCTACTGAAGCCTTGACATTATACCAGAGTCAGACACATACATCCTTGATGTTAAATTGTGTCATACAAAGTCAGTCAAAGAGGGTGGAATGAGTTTTCTGTCAAACCACCAATCTTCCACTCTACGGTCAGATGCTCTATCCACTAGACCACAGAGGCCGTCCAACATAATAGAAGGCACAGCAGCCAGTTTCAGATGATTTTTCACAAATTCCTTTTTCATTCCTAAAATATCTTAACTTGCCATAAATGACCACAATATTACTAATGCAGTATTACGTAGTGTTCACTCTAACAGGAGGAATATTCTGACTAAAATAAATCTGGTGAAATAAAAAATACTTCAATAAAGGCAGTAAATTATTTACTTGTCAATAAAACATGACACATGTTTGAGGTGGCATGACTTAGTTTACGATGAAGGCCTATTTAGTGTCACCACCTATTAACAGCTTGCATCTTCATCAAAAACTGCCAAATGTAATAATGTACATAATCAGAACTTGATATTTCATGTTTACTCATAATTATAAAAAAATGTGCGATCATCTGAAGAAGAAAAAGGGGATGGAAATTTCATTTTATGTTCTACACAATCATGACAATAGCAAGTGTTTTAAAAATGGGGAAATATCTCTCACATATAACCCAAATGGTAATCCCTTCAGTGAGTGAGTGAGTTGGGTTTAACACAGCTTTGAACAGTATTCCAGGTATATTCTGGTTAGATAATCCCCACAGATGGGTAGAAACAATCTTTAGTCAGCACATAATGATGGTTTCAAAATCTATGGCAGGTCTTATTGTCAAATTTATGGAAGAAATGTAAAATTGTCATATGACATGCTTGCCGTCAGAGGTGACAAACCGTTTCGGGTACTGAGGCTCGTTGACTTGGTTGATGTGTGTCATTGTATCCTAAATGCTAAGATCAATGCTCATGATATCAATCACTGGATTGTCTGGTCCAGACTCAATTATTAACAGACCGGCATCGTATAGCTGGAATATTACTGAGTGTGGCTTCAAACAACAAACAAACAAATAAAACATTACTTAATAGCTCTACAGTAACCTATGCTTGTTGTAAGAGGTGATTAAAATGGATCAGGTTATAAGGCCCTGTGACTTGGTTGATTGACTGTCAATATGCCCTGATGCCGTTGGACATTTATCATATTAACCACTGGATTGTCGGGTCCAGACTCACTTTATTTACAGGCACCTGGGATATAGCTGGAATACTGAAGCGTAAAACAACAAACAAACATAACAGTTCCATTACATTTATGGCTAAGCCATAGTAAGATCTATCAATGTACCATAGAAATGAAGCAAGCCACACATGAGATCCACAGATCAGAGTCCAAACATGGCTTTCAGACTATGCGACTACAGCTAATGTGAGTAGATGATGAGAAACTTGAACAGGGGCAGACACAGTTAACATGGCTAAGTGATAATGGATCAGAATATTCACATACAATATAACCTTGAAAAATGTGAAGGTCATTCTAACGCAACGATTATCATGATCACAATGGCGGAATACTATGGTAATTGAAAAAGCAATGGTCTGGTGACCTAGGCAATTATCCAGATGGTTTTTCAATGCGTTGAACATTGAAATATTGGAAACAATTATTATTTTAAGATATCTCCATAAATTCAGCATATTTCTGTGTAATTGAAACATAAATAACGCTACAGGTAATGAAATCAAAATAAATAACACATGGGTGAACAGTATGATCACTGCCTGCTACCATATTCTGTGAGGTCTGTGAAACTGCTCACTAATCCTCATTGTACTTGTCATCCTTAGTCATCTTTCGTACATTTGTAAATAATGTATCCAAATACTGAGGAGAGGGTGTCCTAAGTTGGATAACATGTTCCTAACCCTTTTCTATTTGTGAATAAAATATGTTTAAACTAAACTGCATAATGCACAGCTCAGCACCACAATGCCCTGCAGCTCACCTGACTTATGAAGCTATTATCTGGTAACACTTCATCCATATTCTCGTACAAATATCTTCGAGTAAAATTGGTGCAAAGATTCTGGATGTTGAGTGCAAATAGTGATATTATGATGACCTTGGATCTGATATGGTCATTACATTCACACAAAGTTTAAGTCCTGCGGCCAGGAGTCCGTAAGAACCTAAATTCTAATCCTTTTGTAAAATTGGATTTTTTAAATACTAAAACAAAATACAACCAAATCACACCGAAT